TATAATTTTATCTGTCTGATTCAATGTATTGTTGCTCTCCTTTGCAAAATGAAACATCCCTCAGAATACTTACTCCTCTGGAATGGAGAGCCTTTATTTTTCCCTTTAGCCATATCACAACATCTCAAGGAAGTAGTTCAAGGAATGTGCCTCACAAATAAAAGTGCACATTCAGGTCGTACAGTGATAAAATTATATGTTCATGCACAACCAAGCAAATAATTGCCTTTTCAAATAAGCTAAGAAAACAGGTCCTTTAACCTGCATAAGGTGTCTGTACAAATAGCTTCAAGGATACCCTGTTAGATAAAAAGAATTTCAAATCAAGAATTTTTTCAAAAGAATTTCAAATCAAAAGAATTTCAATGGCCATCTCAGAGAAAACACACTGATAAATCAAGCCATGACAGCATCCAATTATGAAGTTTGTTGAACTTTGTTGAATTAGATTTAAAATACTGAATCCCAACTTACCCCAAAGGCAACCTGCACTGTATTCTGGATAGGTGTCCCTTCCAGGAAAGGTACTGGACAGCAAGTTGAAGGATTATCACTAATCATAAGAGCAATTTGGAGTCAATGCCATTGTTCCATAGGCATGAGTCAGTAGCTGAATCATTCCCATTGACCCTAAATTGCTCTTATGCAAACTGAGGGGCCCTATGTCACAGCAGAGTTCTATTCTGTGCAAAGGGCTAATAACCACTGCATTGAGAAGGACTTGCAGGAAAAAGGAGGCAGTAGCGGTGCTACCTACCTTGAAAAAATGATAAAGTATGGATTCAAAAGAAGCATTAAGCTCAGACTTGGGAAAGCGCATTTTAAGGCTTGTTAGTTTCAAGATCAGTAACGCTCAAGTGCTTTAGTAATAAAATAATTGAGATTAAGATATTCTTTTGCTCTGCCTGCATTTCTCACCAGTTTGCCTCCATAGGGCCTAAAATCAGAAGTGCCCACAGGCAAAGTGTAACAATGAGGAAAGCTGTGTAAACAGGGCTTGAGAGGTCACCTTTCCTTCTTTTGTAGTTTACTTTGCACTGAAACAAACTGGTTTTGAGACTGTATTTCCCAGTAATACAGCTACAGCAGTGAAATTCTGTGGTGGTCTCATGTCATGACATCCAAGCCCATGAGAGCCAACAACTTTGCTAGAGCACAGACAGGTCCAAGACAATGTAGTTTTTACTTACGTTCCTCTACCAGATCTTGCCCATTAACTCTGTGCTTACATTCCTCTGGGTAATTCTTTTGAATCTTTTCCCACAGCTCCCAATTGATAAGAGTATTTCTGCGAGCATTGTATCGTGCCCAGGAAGAGACCCGCCGGCGGCAGAAAGGGCAGCACAGGCTTGCTTTTTCTACTGTCAGTTGGAAACAGGAGTTACAGAGAGTGTGATTGCATGGTAGGGTCACTGGCTCCACAAAAATTTCCGTGCAAATTTGGCAGAGACAGTCAGTCAAGGAAAGTGGAGCTTCAGATTTCGTTGACATGTTGACTCCAGGTAGAGGAATGAGGCTACTGTGGTATCAGTATCTGCAGCCAAAACAGAAATATGTATTTACTGATTAACACATACAAGAGATTATCTACTATAGTCTTCTTATTCAGTTATTTTTGTGCATCATCCCTCTTGTAAAATTCCAAAACAGGAAAAAAGCATGTTAGGCTTAAAAACATATCTGTCCCCTGTTATTCCCAGGAGAATCCCCATGAACCAGAGATAAATATCTTTCTTATAAAATATACCTTTTTCTTCAAAAAGCCATGCCTCTAGCTATGCACTCCTGGGAAGGGCAGTGTATCTATGTTCAGAGACAAAACCTACGTAAGAAACCATGCCACACACACAATCCCTATTTTTTCACTCCTTAAATACTGGGAAAGAGAAGCTACTGCAATTTCTGCCAGGGAGATTCCATTCATTCTGCTTGGGTACTCCACATCAGATATTTAAAAGGTAGCTATGTTCCTAAATATCTTATAAAATCTGGCACTCCATCTTTTGTATCCTTCAGCTAGGAGGACTAGAGACAATACCAGAAGAAAGGAAGCATTCTCATCTGTCTCTTACAATCACCTCTAAGCTTCCTATTTGTTGAGGTTGGTAAAGAAAAGTCTCCAATACTCTTCACATCAGGCCTGTCCAATTTCTAAGTCCTTGGGGGCTACACCCTCCAGGAGCTGTGCTGTGTAGATGCTCCCCCCATGTCCCACCCCCACAAGGGTACTCTCCCCTTCCCCACCACTGCTGCACCATGCCAGTGCGATCCCCCCAACGTGCAACCTCAGACTGACCCTCAGTTCCCCATGCAGCACAGCGCATTGTCCTGCTCTCTGGGGTGGAAGCAGGATGCAACAGTTGTACGTGGAAGGGGAACCTGGAGACTACAGCTGATATTGTAGCCAGAACAATGTGGGGAATGGCAGGCAGGCAGGAGACCTGGGGCCACAACTTAATCCCTCATGGGCTGCACACAACCCATGGGCTGCCAATTCAACAGCCCTGTTCTCCATAGTGCCTAGACAAGTGATTCTCAACCAGGATTTTGCAAGGGGATTGTGCACCCTGAGACGCCTTGAGATCCTTTCAAGGGTGATGCAGTGCCACACAATGTTAGCAATTAGGCATGCAAATATGATACACATGGTGTACCCAGAAATTTCAAATAGGAATCCCTAGTGTCAAAAACATTCTGACCTGTTTGGTCCTTTTGAGTTCTTTGCAACAGATGACTTACTTATTATTTTTCTATAGTCAAGAACAAGTCAAGGCTAAGAGGGGACCATGAGTCTAAAAAGGTTGAGACCCGCTGGCTTAATCCCTAGGTTGGAGTCTTCTCTCTCAGTCAACAGTTGAGTTAACTGAGTCATTTCGTGACATGTTTACTGTTACTGATAAGTTTCTGAGCAGCAGCAAAAAACAGACAACAGTATCATCAGACCTCACTCAAACTGGCAAATCTCTGAACAGTAGTAAAGACAATGAAAGTAGTTGCGAAGATCTAATAAAAAACAAGCTAATGTTGCTCATAACAGCTACAATATTTGAGTACTTAGTTAACACTATTTCTTCTTCAGAGTATTTATATCCTCACATTATTTTTGGCTAAACATGAACATAATGATCTTATCATAAGTTTACTTTATATCACATGTAATCATAAACTTAAATCACTCCATCACTTAAGTTAAGACTTCAATCTACAAGACATCTTTTAAAAGCTCCTATTAGTGCAATCAATTTCAGCATCTTTGATAGTTACCATAGATGCAGTTCAATGGATCAGCAAGAGGGCATGCTCAAAAAGTAGGGATGCACTGATAAAGATTTTTTGGGCTGATATCAATGGCCAATTATTAATGAGCCATATTAGCCGATACCGATCTGATTACCGATATGCAGCCTGGCAGCTTGGAGAGCAGCATCCAGCTGCTAAGTCTGTTGGGGAGGGAAGGGGAAGGGGGCAGACTGAGGTTCCCATAGTGAGGGAGGGAGTTGGGCCAGGGCAGGCACTGCCCAGCCAGGGCAGGGTACCCCTTCCCTCCCCAAAACTTACCAGCCGAACGCTGCTGTCCAAGCTGCCCGGCTAGCCGCGCGCATGCTGCAACTGCACACACGCACATGGCATTTATCAGCAGCATTATCAGCCACGTCAGCCAAAAAAAGCCAATTGACAATTATGTCAATTTTTCTTATATCAATGCTGATGCATTATGGACCAATATATTGGTGTACCTCTATCAAAAAGAACAGTTATTTTTATGAAACACACGGAGGGGCTGCTTGACTAAAAATCTGACAAAGTCACCAGAGCCAAAAAGCAAGGAAAGAAAGTTTATTCATATTCTCCATACCGTAGATTTTTCTATTTTAGCTTCTTTATGAAAATCCTGCAGGTCAGCCAATTTCTCCATCCCCCACTTCCTTAAAGCATTTCCCATCTGTTTTAGGGCTACTGTGAAATATGAAAAAAAAAAGTATCACAGACTATGGTTCAAAACCCCCAGAGTAATAACAGAACCAGAAAAAATAATAAAGTGCTAAAAATTATTTTTAAGGTACAAAAGCTTAAGTCACATGATTACCTTTGTCAATAACACTCTAAAAATCAGAAAGAGCATCGATAGGAAAGCAACTATTCGCCTCTCCAGCTTGAATGATCATCCAAAGCCGTAGTGCCCAAACTTTCTGGGCTGTGGGACAGACAAGTGACATGCATTTGGTTCATGAGCTGGATCTAGAGTGGGGTCAGTGTGTGGCCCCAAACAGACATACCATTCTGGGCCCTGGCCCTGACCTCAAACACCAGCCTGATCCAACACATGGGGTCAAGTCATCAGTCCATGAGGCTTGGACATTCGGTGGTGGCAGAGTAGTGGCACTGTTATTTGCCACCACTCCCCCATTGCCAAATTTCTAGGGGTACATCAATAAAGATTTTTTTGGCCAATACCAATGGCCGATTATTAATCAGCCATAGCGGCTGATACCGATCCAATAGCTGATATGCAGCCTGGCAGCTCGGAGAGCAGCGTCTGGCCAGTAAGTCTGTGAGGAAGGGAGGGGAGGGGAGATCGAGGCCCCTGCAGTGAGGGAGGGAGTGGGACTGGGACTGGGGCAGGAGCAGGTGCTACCCAGCCAGGGCGGTGTAGGATGCAGGACAGAGACACGGGTGGCTTGTCTGGGAGGAGTGGGGAGGGAAGGAAAGGGGGGCTGTTCCCCGCACCTCTGGGGGAGGCATGTGCCTCCCAGATTTGTGTGTAGGGCAAGAGCAGGCTGCCCACTGCAGGCTCAGGGCCAGGGGCTGTGCCAGCCTCTTCCCAGCACGGGGGCTGGGCTGGGGCTGTGCCTGGAGTGGGAAGGTGGGCTATAGCCATCCCAAAATTCACCATAGCCTCCTTCCCAGTGCCACCTGCTCTGAGCGCAGCCCCAGCCCAGCCTCCTCACCATGAAGCAGCTGGTACAACCCACAGCCCCAAGCCTGCAGCAGGTACCCACCCCTACCCCATCCACAAATTTGGAGGGCACATGCCCCCCATGCCTCCCCAGGGGTGTGTGCAGTGGTGGGGAGTGCCCCCCCCTCTGAGCCCTGCCGCAGCCCCATTCCCTGCCTTTCCATGGGAGCCTAGATCTGTCTCCACCATGCCAGTTTCCCCCCCGGCCAGACAATGGTCTCCACACTGCTGGGCTGCATTCCTGGCCATGTGCATGCTGCAGCTGAATGCATGGACATGGCATTTATCAATGACATTACCGGCTACAATAAATTAAAAAAAAAAGCCGATTGTCAATAATGTCAGTTTTCCTTTTATCAGCGCCGATCCAATATGGACTGATATATCAGCGCACTTCTACAAATTTCTGGACCGTAGGGAGTCACACAGGCCAGATGACGGTCCCACAGGCCAGATCTGGTCCATGGGTCAGAGGTTGAGCATTACTGATCCCAAGCAACTGGAAAGGAGACAATAAAAATAATTTGAATACACAATCCAACAAATACACATTTTTGTACATCTGGGATGAAGATACAACACACAGAACAACTTTCAGAAACATTAAAAAGATATGGAATTGATAATAATTAAAAAGTATGAAAAACAACCTGAAACATTAACATCATCTTTAAAACTGAAAAGTCCAAAGAACTTTTTATGGGTTGTGTAGTTATTTCAGCATACATCCTGAAAGAAGCAATGTAGCTGAGTCTCAGGAAGCACTATATTTTAATGTTAAAAAATAATAGACAAAAAAAGAATAAAAAAGTAGAAACACTGACTAAACTAGGAGGAAATATAGAAATGCTTGTCACAAGAGAAAAACTAGCGGGGCAAACCATTAGGCATTTAAGATGCTTATATGCTAGGGAAAAAAGTAAGGAATAAACAGAAAGAACTGAAAGACCTAGTAGAGCCACACTGTCTGACGTAGAGAAAAGACTTGGTCAGAAAGTTCGCACAACTGGATTTTGATATAGATAAGCACAGCATGTTCAGGAAGGACACACACGAGGAAAAAAATGGTGAGAGGTGGCATTGTTCATTATAAAGGTCTACACTTGTTCTAAGGTTCAGAACTAAGTAAGAGATAATTTATTGAAAGTCTTTACATCAAGGGGGAAAGAACAAAGGCAATGTTATTATGGGTGCCCACATCACAAAAAACAATAGTGGATGAGACTTATTTTAAACAACTAACTCAAGCATCCAAGCTAGAGAGCCTAGTATTTATAGGGGCCTTGAATTACTATATTTGCTGGCAGGGTAACACAACCATGCACAGGCAATGCCCCAAGTCTTTAAGACCATGTTAAGGACAACTCTTTGGCACAGACAGTTGAAAAACCAACTGGGGGAAGCTGTTCTTGATTTGTCACTTAACTAATAAAAAGAAACAGGCTGAGTGACTGTGAATTTCTCTAAGGACAGAAGATCACCAGAACAGAAAGGCTGTTATTTCAGAAATGCTGCATTGAATAAGCTCAGGGCATGGGGAGGCAGGATCCCCAGAAAAGCAAACCTATAGGGCAGGTGCGCTCAACCTCTGGCGTATAGGCCAGATCTGGCCCATGGTGCTGTCAGCCGACTCAGGGCTCCTCACGGATCTGGACATTTGTTGGTAGGAGAGCAGTGGCACCACTCATCTGCTGCCAACTCTCTGGGCCCATGGATCAGGATCCAGTGCCAGTGAGGAGGGCTGAGAGGGGGCAGTGCTGGCTTCCTGGGACCCAGCCCTGACACATGGTAAGGGGGAGCAGCAGGGAACGGCACTGAGCTCCCAGGCAGGGTAGATAAAAATCAATGATTTTTTTTGTTCTAATGATTTTTTTAAAATTAAAAACACCATTTTTAAAGGGAGGAAATGGTATGGTAGAAGGGAAAACCTATCATAGCAGTGAGCTTGCAAAAGCCATAAGAGAGACCCTGTTTGGGAATATTTTAATGAAGGCTATATCAAACAAGCAAGCACTTTTAGTAGAAAACAATGATTAAATCGAGGCTTCCTGACCAGTGATTTAAATCGAATAAATTTAAATCAAATCCACCCTGCTCCCAGACCACGATCCTGGTGTGCGGGGCAGGGTGGCGCCAGTGCCGGCCCGATATGGCCCAGATTTAACCCCGCCCCCCCCGCTCGCTCCCCAGACCCGCGGGGCCAAAAGTTACAGGCAAACGGGCAGCGATCTCTTCAGGACCAGCTTTGCAATAGGTCCCAGGTGACACGGGAGCTCTGCAAAGGCTGC